GGTGGCGGCTTTGGGGGGGAGGAGGGGGAGGGGGCGGTGGGCGGGTTAAGACGGGTTGGATGTTCGGCACTGGGAGGGGATTGGGGATTGCATGGGGTTGCCGGTAGTGGCAGAGATGGGTGTACAGACCCCGAGGGGGTGGGGGGGAAGAGGGGCCAGGTTTGTGTATTGATTGTGACTTGAGGGGGAGTGGAGGGAGGGAGGGAAGAGTGCTTCACCGGATGTGTGCCGCTTCATGCCATGAACACACCGGTTCACATGCGGGGAAAGTCGGTAGCAAGCATGCATGCAAGGGGGGGCAAGGGTTGCGGTCACAAGCAAGTGCCTACTGCCCCCCACCCCCCACACTGCCCCCCCGCCTCTCCTAACCCTTACCCCACACCCCACACCTGCTCCTCCCGCCTTCTCCCCCCCTCGAAACTCACCCGCCTTCTCCCCCTGCGCCCCCCTCAGCTTGGCCTCCGCCACCAGTCCGTGGCAGGTGGCCATCAGGGCGGCGATACCCATGTCGGTGACCTGGAGGGACAGGAGCGGGGGGGGGAGGGAGCGAGGGAGGGGAGGGGGAGGGAAGGGGAGGAAGTGAGAAGTGAGGCGGGCAGGTAGGAGGGAGGAGGCAGGAGGGAGGGGTTGCGGGGTTGCTCAGCAAACGCCGGGCTGTTTCGTGGGCCGCACACTCCGCGTGAGCCACCAACAACGAACAGCACACACCCCTCCCCCCACCGTCTCCCCTTGACCCCCCTTTCCCCCACCCACCCACCCACCCCCCACACACCTCATTAATGGTGCACCGCTTGACCCGCCCCCCGCCCCCCGCCAGCTGTGCCAGCTCCTCCGCCTCCTCCTCCGCATCCACCTCCTCCTGCGTCCACGCCACCGGCTCCTGCAGCCCCGCCGCCCGCACCAGCAGCGCCAGCGCCTTGCCCGCCTGCGCCGCCACCGCCGCCAGGGGGGCGCCGGGCTGCTGCGCGGAGGCGAGCAGCGACTCGGCGCGCATGATCTGGGGGGGGGAAGGGGGCAGGAGGGGGCAGGAGGATTGATAAGGATGAAGATTTCGCGGGAGGGGGCAGGAGGGAGTGAAGGGAGAGGGGAGGGTGAGAAAGGTTGTAGGAGTGAGTACCGGGCAGGGAGGAGGGCAGGAAAGGATGAAAGGGGGGAGCAGTGGTGGTGGGGTGAGCAAAGAAGCCCGAGTCGCACTCTAGCCCTTCCCCACCCCCCTCACCCCCCCCCCACCTGCACCTCCGACCGCAGGCCCCGGCCCTCCTCCTTGTCGGCGCTGTCGGGCGGGATAACCACCAGCGCCCTGGAGGGGAAGGGAGAGAGAGAGGAGGAGGGAAGGGTCAGGGAGAGACCAAATCATAGGAAACCACAGGTAAGGGCAAAACAATGGAAGCAGGGGAGGGGGAGGGGATGGCACTCATGGGGTTACTGGCAAAGCGATAATTTCCACCCCACCCCCCCCGCCCACTCCCATGTTGACGCCTTATCCCCCAGTCAGTTAGTTGTTTCCTCTTTACCCCCCCCCACCACTCACTGTTTCGCATGCTCCGCCGCCTGCTTGTCGCACCCCACCCCCTGGTAGGCCCGGGCCAACGCGAAGTGCGCCTTGGCCAGCAGCAGCGGCTCCTCCCGCACCGCCACCGGCATGGTGCGCCACACCACCTTGGCGTGGCCCAGCGCGTGGCAGGCCAGGTTGACAATGACCCATGGGTCAATGCGGTCCTTCTGCGGGGACGGAGGTGGGGAGAGATGCAGTGGCTGTAGGTGACGGGGTACAGAGGTAGATACGCCCACTTGCATGTGGCCCCCGCTCCCCCCCCACTCCACCACCTACGCATGAGTCGGGACACGGGACTGGGATCCCCAGGCTCCGCTTGTAATTGTTACCCACCACCACCAAGAACAACACCAACACCACTTACGGTAAAATAGTTAGCTTCTTCCTCCTTGCACCCCACCCCACCCCACCCCACCCCCAATCCAGCCGAATGGGGAATATGTATCCCTATTAACCCCACCACCACCACCTCATCCCACCCATCCACACCCCCACCCCCACCCCCACCCCACCTGCGCCTCCGCCTCCGCCAGGTCCGCCATCACCTCCGCCAGCCGCACAGCCGGCGTGTCCGCCTCCAACTCCTCCAGGGGGTCCAGAACACCACCAACACCACCACCGCAACCACCACCACCTCCTGCACCTCCGTAAGCGTAACCGTAGCTGGGCGCGGGGTAACCGAAGCCGTTACCGTTACCGCATGCTGCTGCTGCTGCTCCTCCGTACTCCTCATGTGCTCCGGCACCCACCCCCCGCCCTCCGCGCCCCGCCGCTCCTCCTGCGCCTGCTAAGCGGTGCTGGCTGGCAGGCCGCCCGGCTCCTGCTCCTCCCGCTGGTGCTGCTGCATGGTGGTGGTGGTGGTGTGGGTTTTGGTGGTGGCTGCTGCCGTACATGGCACCCCCCATGCGGGGGCCGTACAGCTGCTGGAAGCGGCTGAGGTGCTGCTGCTGGTTGTAGGTGTCGAACTCGTCCTGCCCCTCCTCCTCCTCGACCGCTGCCTCCTCCTCCCCCTCATCGTAGCAGCCTCCTGCTCCCCCGCCTCCTGCTCCTCCCCGGGAGGCCAGCTCCATGTCGTCATCCGCCAGGGTGGTCGGCTCGCCTGGGAGGAGGGGGGCGGGAGGGAGGGAGGGATAATGAAAAGTGAAGCAACGGAAGGGGGTCGGGAAGGGGCAGGGAGGGAGGGAGGGATAGAGGTGAAGAGGAGGATACCACGCAGGGAGGGCGGGGAGAAGGAGGGTGCGGCGGGAGGGGGGGTGTGCCTTGCGCCGAGGAATGGGGGCGAAGGGCGGAGGAGGGAGAAGGGAGCAGAGGGATGAGAGGGAAAGATGGGCGAAGAAAGTGCCAGCAAGAGCAGCCCTAGCTGCCGTACATGCTAATAACGGCGCTTATAACCGTTCTGTACCTCCGACCTCCTCTACAACCCATGTGTTATCCATCCAGGCCGCGCACCTCGCCCACCCCAGCCCCTACTCCCTCCTAATGCGGAATCTTCATCCCTGTTAGCCCCCCTGCTCCCTTCCCTACCCACCATCCACGTCAATGACCTCCTCATCCGACACCACACTGAACGCCGCCCGCCCGCCTCCACCTCCGGTCCCTCGCACCGAGCTAGCTGCCCCGCCGCTACGCAGGCTGCGGGCGCTACGAGCCCGGGCAGCAGCAGCAGCAGCGGAGGGGGAGGAGCCGCCTGGGTTAGTGGCGCCGGCGCCAGCAGCATGGGCAGGGGCAGCACCCGTGGGTGCTGTGGCGTTTAGCCGAGCAGCTTTTTTGAGGTGGTGGTTGGTGAGAGGCGCGGGCGGGGGCCGCGGGGCGGGCTGCGAGAACATGCTTCGGGTGAGCTGAGGGGGAGGGAGGGGGAGGGAGAAGGTGGAGGAAAGAGAGGGGGAGGGTGAGGGAGGGGCCAGGTGGTAGGAGGAAGGGGCTGCGTATGAGGGATGGAGGGAAGGGTTAGGAGGGAAGAAGTTTGGAGATGGGAAAGAAAGGAGGAGGAGGAAGAGGGCAGGTGATGCTGTGTTGGCTGTCGGTAAGACTATGTAGGAAGCATTGAGGTACGCGTCATGTGGGCGGAGGGCGGAAAGAGCACAACGCCTTATGGGAGTGGTTCATGGTGGTGTAAATGAGAGGTTTGCGAGAAGTTGTCCGGACGGCTTCACCTGCACTGGTGCGACCTCAGGCGGGGCCAGCAGCTCGGCATCGTCCATGCGCCCAACGCGCGCCCGACCCCGTGGGGCGCGGCCGTCAGGTGGTTGGGTCGTGTACCCTCCAGCCATTAAGAGCTGCATTCACAGCAATTTGTTTGAAAAAAGGGTCCCTCAGTTATGCGGAGCTTGCCGACTTCAACAAAAGTAAGGCAAGAAGTGTGCTAACAGCGTGATACAAATATAGAATGCTTTCCTATAGAAGCTGATGGCATCGGCAAGCCGGCGACGCATGTGCACAGTAGTCCTACCCAACCAGCTCTAAGGCAGCTCTCAACCTGTCAGGAGCACCTTGTCCCGCCTCACCTCTTACACAAAAATGATGAGTCTCCTGGACCGTTTCCTATGTGCTCGAAGACCTATAAGTCTGGATGCCACCTTCAGGGCCTCAGCAAATCCATATCGCGAGGGGCAAGCTAAGGAACCAGGAATGGAGAAACATACAATAATTTATCACTGGAGGTTTGTAGTCTTGCCACTCGGGAAAGCACGGCAGGTTAGTCCTAGTGGAATGTTCGCACTGTTTAGTAGCTGCAACGACAACAAGCTTCAATGATGCCTGGATTACGGTAACGTCTTCTACCTAAACCTAGCTGCCTCGGCATGTGGGCTTGAAGCGAATCGCCGTGTGGGCCGTACGGCAGAAACTCTATCGGGCCAACTTTGTGATACCGGGGCCTTGGCCCGGCCACTGCTCCGTTATCATTACCAGGGTAACAGAACACCCAAGTGTACAGCGTAAGGGAAGCGCCGACTGCGTTCCAAGATCACCTCACAAGCCATACGACAAAGCATGCTCACTTGCTCAGCCAGGTCGGCCCGTGCGCAAACCTCATTAAACCAATTCACAACATGGGAAGGGTTGGGGAAGCACAGGGAAGTCCGTTGGAGGTCGTCTAATGTGAACCTGAGGCCTCGGCAGCCCCAGGCAACCCTGAGCCTGTGTGGTACGACAAAGCATCCTCAGCCAAGTTGGCCGGCGCTCAGGCCTCAACAGACCATTCTGCAACATGGGAAGAGTCTTCGCCTTGTCCTGCCTCCTCAGGCAGCCCAGGTGTTACCCTACATCCTTGCCGTGCCGGGTTTGAAGGCACGCATCCGCAACCTTCAAACCACTGCTACTATACGTGGTCTGGCCACCCGTCCATGTCTCCCTAGGAGGATGCACAGACGGCTTGCATACCGGTAGCGTACGGCATATTCCAATATTACGCGTGGGAATCCAGAGAAGGCCATTCGTTTACAATGTTATATACATTACGCTTGGCCGCGTATTGGACAGCCTGAGAGCCGACGGCCAGCAGAGAACAACGTCGCATAGCTTCCAACCGTTGACAAATGCCTCGACAGAAGATGCCATGGTTACCCACTCCAAGCACCTGCTTATTTGCAAATATGACACCAGTATAAAATCATTAGGCTATGCTTTCCAGGTTGTGCGCCATCGCAAGCGAAGGGAGCAACAGTTAGGTACCTAATGGTCCTGCTTCGGATATGCCTATTTGCGGCCCTTGGTGGCTTCTTATTCGGGTACGGTATGGCTTATGACGGCTGGAGTGATGACCTTCATGCTGCAATGCTGTAGTCTGCTGTAGTCTAGGCCTCCCAGATGCTATGTTATGCCGCCATAGACCATGCACGTTTTGCTATACATTCAAAATAGAAAAAGCTTGACGGTGTACCTTGGAGGAATTCTTCTTGTCGCCCCACGTACCACGCTGTGCAAGCCCCATCAAGGCACCCTACTCAGACTCTACTGTACTCCACCTCCAAAGCTCCAACTCTCACATCATTCCTGCAACTGCTGATGCAGCAGCACTGCAGCTCTTCGCCTTTCCCTTCCCCCCCTGACCCTGTGACCCCACCTGCCTCACACATACTTCCAGCCCGCAGCCTCAACCCTACAACACCTAACCAGTCGTCCGCTCCCACCTCCCACCTCCTGCATTCGCTGCTTCCCGCAGGTATGACCTGGGCCTCATCGGCGGCGCCTTGCTGCAGGTGGGGCCGTATATGCCGTACATAACGGTATTCACCGTGTGCCGTACGAGCCATACCCCTCCGGGCTGTGGGACCGTCAGCGCCATGCGCTGCGCAGGTCGGCATGCTGGCTTTGCCTCTTGTCAGTAACGCACGTTGAGGCAGTACGGCCGGGCTCGCACTCGCGGAATCAGCGCATCTGGGTTACTTGTGTACTCCCTTCCCCAACCCCATCCCCTCCTCAGATCCAGTCGTACTTCCGGCTGCACGGCTCCCTCACCCTGGAGCTGATCGTGGGGGCTGCCAAGCTGGGTGCGGTGGGCGGTACGGCACTGGGTGGGGCGGCCATGTCGGTGTACGGCAGGCGGGCGGCGCTGGGGCTGAACAGCCTGGCGTTCTGCGTGGGGCCACTGGTGATGGCGGCGGCGTGGGCGCCGTGGTGAGGGGGAGGGGGAAGGGGTAAAGAGGAAACAACTAACTGACTGAGGGATAAGGCGTCACCAGCCAGCCCGACCCGCCCAGCCCGAATTAGCAAAGCCAGGGAAGGGGGAAGGGGGGAGGGATGGCGGGAGGAGGGAGGAGGGGTGGGGGTAATTAATATGGAAACAGAATCCGCATTAGGCTGGATAGTTGGGTTAGCGTATAATTGTAGTTGTTGTATAGTTAGTAGCATCAATCAGTAACAAACCGTATTGTAAGCTCCGTGGCGGCTGGGGTGATCTGAGTCACTCTGCATTGGCGAATAAAAGGCGGCTGCTACTGTGATAACTGGCTCCACTGCGCTAGACCTGATGTCTGTGCTGCAATGCTGTCAGCAGCATAACGTATGTAAGCTCCGCTGCTTAGCTGGGGCTGTCATGCGGCTGTGTGCACCAAAGCATCCCACCCTGCCCGACCCTCGCAAATGACCCATGGGTCTAACAAAGCCCAGCCCACCCACTAGTCCGAACCCTGACTAACCTGCGTAGCAAGGGAAAATTGTGCAGCGAAGACGTACCAAATTTCGTTAATAGTGAGCGAAAAGCGTCCAGAGACACAAGAAGGCGGCGCGACGAGCGAACAGAAGGCAGGCATGCGTCCCTGTGCTGTGCTGGTGCTGCGAGCTGCGCTGTATATTGACGCATGCTGTATGACGATGAAGATGGCTGACTTATCGTGATGAAAGAGACGGGACTATGCCGAGAGTTAGTATTTATGCGAAATGCGGCGATGCGAAGTACGGCATGGGACGAGCATGCTTAATTAAGCGCAAGCGCAGTATGGGTATAATGATCTAGATATGGAGAAGGTGCAAAACGTGCGATGCCAGTGAAATGACAACTAAAAACAATGACAGGGCAGGGCCTCGCAAGGCTCCCCAAACAACCCTGTCACCCAAGCGAGCCATTGCATGCAGGCTCACCGGGGCTGCAGGTGTGGGAGACCTAGGTGCATGGTGGCGTGCAGACCTACCAGATGACCATGAACGGAGACTAGTGTATGGCAGGGTGAGGGGGGTTGTAACAAGGCATTGCGTAATGCGATCCTATAGGTAGCGACATGCGTGTTATGACAGTTTGCGTGCACGCAATACGTATCCGCGGTAATACCCGTGCTCCGCGAGTATGGCGATAGCCTGTGTTACCGCCTCCTGGAGGTTGCCGACGTCCCTGCTGAAGGCGCCGGAGCCGGCTGTGGAATACTTGCGCTGAGCGTATCCGTTGGCTGTCGCTGACGTAGACGATGCCGAAAGTATGGACTGGCTGTTTCAGTAGTCACGTTTCAAAGAAGCTTATCGGGCGATGTTGGAAGACCTTGATATCCGGCCAGTCTCGTTGTTGACGGTACGCTGAAGTGAATGGGCTTGTTCGTCGATCTTGGTGGCGATGCCGCGCGCGATCCGTAGTCCGTCGTTGTAAGCTCCAAATCCTCCCCTCCCGCCCTCCTAAACCCCCACACTTATCCTGATGCGTGTGCAGCTGTGAACCTTGTAAAGTGTAGAAGCATCTATATAATTACGTGGCAAATCGTAAATGTAAACCGCTGATGGGGTGGGGGGTGAGGGGTGGGGGTAGTGGAGGGCGGGAGGAGGGGTGAGTGTAGTGGAGGTGGGTAGCAGCTGCCGGTATAGCTTGACAAGGCAGGGCTGGGGAGCGCCCCCTAGGGCACCCGGGCGGGGACGTGAAGGGTTGCGGGTGGGGAGTAAGGAACTGCAAGGGGGGGGTGCAGCGTGCACCAGGAGGCGGCGAGCACCGTGATTGCAGCGCCTCCCGCTACTCCCCGTTGGAACCCATGCCTGTTGAATGTACGGTATCCATCCCCATTCCCACCCACCCACCCGTCCACCCGCCTTGTCAATGTCGCCATACGGTTAGCCAGGTTCTTCCTGTTTACCCCGGCTCCCCCCCACCCCCACCCCCTCTCCCACCAGGCTGCTGGTGTTGGGTCGCTTCCTGACGGGGTTGGGTATCGGCATGAGCGCCACCGTGTCGCCCGCGTACATCGCGGAGCTGGCACCCGCAGCGGGCAGGGGCGCGCTGGTGCAGCTGTACGAGGTAAGGCAGGGGGGGGAGGGGCGAGGAAGCGAGGAACCAAAACCGCTCTTGCGGGATCCTCGGCAGGTTGGAAGCACAGCCTGCCTGCCTGTCGTACACCACCTTGCCGTACCCCCCCCCACCGACTTGGTTACCCGTACCGAGCCCCGCCGCCCCCTCCTCCCTCCCCCTCGTGTTGACGCCTTATCCATCAGTCAGTTAGTTGTTTCCTCCCTCACCTCCCCTCATGCGCTCACTGCATGAGTCGGGATATGGGATTGGGACTCGTTGTTTCACTTTTTAAGTGCCCCCCCCACCACTCCTCCCCCCCCAGGTGATGCTGTGTGTGGGCATGCTGGCCGCCCCCGCGGTGGACTGGGCGCTCAGCGGCAGCGGCCGGCAGGACATGTGGAGACTGATGGTGGGGGGTCAAAGACCATGGTGGTGGGGGGGGAGGGGGGGTGTAAAGCTGGGTGACGTGGGGAGGGTGGGGCGGGGGGAGGGGCAGTGAGGGGCGGGGGGACCTGCTTGGTGCCAAGGGTGGGTGCGGGGCTGTCGCGGGTGGGACGACAGGCGGGGCGGGACGCTGTCGTACCCACGTGCTCCTCACAGCACCCGCAGCGAGGTGTAGGCTAGGCGGCAGGGGAACGCAGGGGAGGTCCAACTGCACCCGTTCGTGCCCTCTTGCGCCTGCCAGCCTAGGTATGGCCTTTGGTCCTATATCCCGCTAGTTACGCTGTTGTTTGTTGGCGCTGACGTTCCTTTCGATCCGTACGCAGGTGGGTATTCCGGCGTTGCCAGGGTTAGCGCTTGCCGCGGCGCCGCTGCTGATGCCGGAGTCGCCGAGATGGCTGGTGGTGCAGAACCGACTGGATGAGGCGCTGCATGTGTTGGCAGCAACTATGCGGCGGAGTAAGGGCAACGGTCGTGGAGGGCTTGCGTTTTGGAGCAGCGGCTACGAGCGTGTGGCGGATACGGTAAGGTTCACTATAAGACCCACGTCATTTAGGCTATGATGCAAGATTGGTTGGAGGGTTAACCCAGAAGAATTTTATTCGTGTGGCAAGGCATTGAAAACATAAAGCGATTATAATGGGTTGCTTCATGTTTGCCAGCCCATCCAGCCCAGCCCGATTAGTCAAGCCAAAACGACTGGAGGGTTGGAGCTTAGGTTACCTTCGTGTTATACCGTGATTCCAGGGGGCATATCCTACTGAAAGGTTCCTTTGCATATTTACATCCAGTCCGTCGGCCCCCTGTCCTTACTCTAGTCAACCGCTAGCTCCGGATCCGAAACCTTGCTTGCGAAACCTTGCTTGCAACGAAGTCTTTATTGTGCAACTTTCAATGCCGAAGAGACTGTGATAACAGCAGTTGGCTTTAGGGTGCGCTGAACACAGAAAGGACCTTTGACTTTGCGTTTCGTTTCTGACGGAAGGCTCGTGATAAGCAGCAGAATGTCCCTCCTAGCCAGCCGTAAGCCTCTTGCTTGGTCGTCAGTTTCAGCTCACCGTGGCTTCTTACGAATCGGCCATCCTAGCCGCCTCTCCTGTGTCGTCGCCACGGCCGGCCGTCGTGTCGGCCAGGAAAACCGCAAAGCACAGAGCAAGGCCGAACCGCGAAAATGCCCTTGTGGTTCTGGTGAACAGTATCAAGAGTGCTGCGCTTCAATCGTTTCTGGTGCTTGGGCGCGCACAGCTCCAGAGCTTGCCAGGGCGCGCTTCACAGCAATGGTATCTGGCAAGGTGCAAATGCTGGCTGATACAACACATCCAGAAGCGCTTGAAGCAATTGGCACCAAGCAGTCCCTGTTAAAGAAGATGGACCAGCACATGCGCAAGCGCGGCGTGGGCGAGCTGCTGCCGTCCCTCGTCGACTGCGTTCATGGCCAGCATCCGGACGACCCGAACAATTGGATTGTCGTAATGGCCATTTCGCTGGGCGAACCGGGCATGGAGGATGTGTACGTTCTCTACGAGCTTTACCGGAAGGACAACGGCCGATGGTGGTACATGAATTCACCCAGGGAAATTCCAATCCTCGAGCAGTTTGCGGAGTTCTTGGAGCGCTACCATGATGTCGGGCAAGGCGAGATGGGGCCAGTGGAAGGGCTTTACGACTACAGTTTCCTCCCAAGTCAGCCGCGCAACCTTACCTCCGAGGCCGCGAGACTCCGCACACCATGGCTGGTGGATGAATGGCCAGCGGATCAGCAGCAACGAGGCTGGGTTTACCTCGACACAGCGAAAGACCCGGAAACCGGGCGCACGGCTGCACAAGAGGCTGCTGAATTTCACAAAAGCCTGAGCGAGTCGCTGCTAACCTCCGAGTTTGATTACGAAACCTACTACTTCCGCTTTGGTCGCTTCCTTTGAGTGACCCGCCCGGCGAGGCGACGTATTTCGCGCGGGGTTGCTTTGGCTGGTGGGGGTGGGTGTACTGGCCACTTGTGGTGGTGTTCTGTGTCTTGGGTGTGGGGTAGTTGTAACTCGTTTGGGGGAAGGGGTTAAGGTTGACGTGTAGTGCGTACGGCAAATGACGCTTAGGCTGTGCTGCAGGTGCGGGGTGGCCGGTTGGATGGGTGGGGGGCTTATGGGCGCTGGGGGGCATTGGAGCGGCATGCGGGTTTGTGAGTGATGGGGTTGTGGTGGATTGGAACTGAGCGCGTCAAGTTTTTGCAGAGCTGTGTTACGGCCTCAGAACGGGAGTTGTTGGTTCGAATGGCTGGTTGGTTGAACTCTAGAGTGTTCGCGAGAGTCTGTGTTAATCAACAGCCACAGCTCACAAAGGGGGCGGCGTCCTGGCTTCAGACCTCTGAAGGCAGGTGCGCAGCGGGCAGCAGTGGAGGGAAGGGGGGGGGGATAAAGAGATGCCGGTAAATAGTCCGCACTAAACGAAGCCAAGATGGCTCCCAAACAACCACGGGTTTATGTTCAGCCTTATTAAATACGGCTGTTATACACACTTGGCATCTGATAACGGCTGTGCATGCCAGGTTGTCAACCCCTCTTCCATCCCGCTTGTCCTCTCTTTCTTTCCCTCCACCACGACCGCCTCCCAGTCCATCCATGTCCACTACTGCATCCCCGCATGTGTATCCCCTTCGCTGCTGCTGCTTTGGGAGCCCCTGACTCCTCCTCCTCACCCCCACCACCCACCCATCCGACCGCCCCGCAGGACCCTTCCGGCGCCCGCTCCTCCTCCCCATCCCCACTCGGGAGGGCGGCAGCGGCGGGGCCTGAGGAGGCTGAGGACGCGGCAGCCGAGCAGGCTCTGCGGGCCGCGGAGGACGAGCTGCTGCTGCTGTGGAGCGCGGCGGAGGTGGACAAGGCGGCTGTGGCGGTGGGTGGGGTGGGGTTGTGGGGTTGGAGGTGGGAATGGGTACGGGAAATAGCCGTGAAGTAGCCGTGCTGGGTGGGTGGGAGGGTTGGGGTGGGTGGGTGGGATCCAGGGTGATGGTGGGTTGGCAAGCGAGAGAGTCCGCTTCCTCTCGGGGAGCGATGGTAGTTGGTGACCACCACCATGCATGGAACACCCCCATGTGTGTCGGCAGCTGGGGGCTGGCAGCTCGCCAGTAGCCGGTGAGCTGGGAGGGGAGCTGGCGGCCTTGTAGCGAGCTTCCGGTCCTCACGTACTTCATGCCACTCTAATTACACTACTATGCGTCAACTGGGCATGTAGTGGTGCTAAACGTGCATGCCCCGCACCGCTCCCCGCCAACACCTCCACGCCACCGCAGGAGCGCCGGCGGCGCATGTGGCTGGAGCGGCAGCACCGGCAGCGCCAACAGCAGCAGCAGCAACTGCAACAACGGCGGCAGCGGCGGCGATGGGGCCGCCTGCACCGCTACTTCTCCTCCACCTCCTCCACCTCCCCCGACTCCTGGTCGCTGCTGCCCTCCAGCGCCCCCCTGGAATCCATCCCGGAGGAGTCCCCCTCCTCCTCGCCCGTGCCCTCGCCCTCGCCCGCTGCATCCTCTCCATCCCGAGGCATCCCGCATCCTCCGCCCCTCCTCTCTCGCCCAACAACCGCCGCCCAGGGATTGGGGCGAGGCACGCCCCTCAACTTCCCCGCCTCCACACCTGCACCAGCCGCAGCAGCAGTACTGGTGTGGGACCCCCAGGCTGAAGCCGCACCTAGCACGGGTCAAGGAGGAGACGGCGGGGCCGAAGGAGGAGGACGCGAAGCGGGAGGAGGAGGTGGGGCAGCTGGCGCGCCGAACTGCAGTAGTGTCTGCGGTGGAAGCGGTAGCGGGTGTGCATGCAGGCAAGACGCGCCTCGAGGGAGGGACTCGAGTTGCTGCGGCGGCAGCGGTGGCAATAGCAGTAGCAAAAGTAGAAACATTGACACTAGAAGCAGCGCCGTCAGCGGTTGCAGCACCGCGACTGAGAATGGGAGTCCTGGTTGCGGCTGTGCTCAGGCTTATAGCAGCTGCGGCGACGGCGACGGCGGTGGTGGCACGACGCCTTGCTGCGGCAGCAGGGGCGCAGCGGGTGCGTACTCGCCCTTAGCCGGACCTGCCACTTTCCAGCAGGAGGTGGAGGCGGGGCTGGGGGAGGCGCACCAGCAGCATCAGGCGCATCAGGCACAGCAGCAGCAGCTAGTCCATGGTGATCCACCAGCGGAACAACATCATCATCAGCGCCAGCAGCAGCAGCAAGAACGGCAGCATGAGGAGGCGCACCACCAGCAGCAGGCACCCGAGGAGGCCCAGCAGCAGCCGGATGGCGGCGGCTTCCTGCGCACGCTGGGCTGTATGGTGTGGGAGGTGCGGGAGCTGGCGCGGGGCCCGGAGCGGAGGGCGCTGGGACTGGCCCTGGGGCTGGCCTTCTTCAACCAGGTGGGGGGGGAGGTTTGGCCAGAACTGGCAGCCAAACTGGCAGTGATGTGTGGGGTGGGGGGCGGGGTAGCATGCCTGGCTGCATACATGTAATGGTGGGGGGGTGGCGTTAACAGGGAGACGGTTAGGACTACCAGATGTTTGGCGACCGCCTGCTCTACCCTACGCATGCGTGTTGTTTTGAGGAGGCGGTAAATTTTGCGGGATTGCCTCTACGCGTGCTGTGCCGCCTTTGATCTCGCCTATGCTGCTCTTGCTCCTCCCACCCCCCTCTTCCCCTCTCCACCCCCCAGGCCACCGCCTCCACTTCCATCATCAACTACGCGCCCAGTCTGCTGCAGCGGCTGGGTCAGCAGCAGGGCATGCAGGGGGAGGAGGCGGGTGCGGGTGATGGGAGCGGGCGGGCGCTCGCGTACACGGCGGGCATAGGGCTGACCAAGGCGGTGGGTGTGGTGGCAGGTGAGGAGGAGGGGGAGTGGGAGCGGGGGCCCCCACTTGCCACTCTCCCACTTGGTTTCTCGCCCGGCCACCTTTTCGTTCCCCCACGGCCCTCCATCCTTCCCTACTCCCTCCTCCCTCCACCTCCTCACCCCGCTCACCTCCCCTCCTCCCTCCCCCCCTCGCCAGCCATGTGTGTGGTGGACTCGCTGGGTCGCCGCCCGCTGCTGCTGTGCGGCTCACTCGCCTGCTGCGCCAGCCTGCTGGCGGCCTGCGGGGCGGCGCTGCTGGCGGAGGGCGGCGGCGGTGCGGAGGGGCTGCTGGCGGGCGCCATGTGCGCCTTCACACTGTGCTTCAGCTTCTCATGGGCGGGACTGTACTGGGTGGGTGGGGCTGGGTGGGTGGGAGGGGGGTAGAATAAACCAAACCACAAAGTTAGGGCAAAACAATGGGTATTGTTGGCAGGGAGCCACAAAACATGGGAGGGTTTACTGATGGGAGGCGGGAGGGAAAAAAGAAATTCCAAAGTGTGGTGTGATAATGATATAAGTTGCTGACAATCCCTGGTGAAATGGCGGGAGGGAAGGGGAGGGGTTACTGATGGTTGGTGTGTGTGGGTGGGGGAGTGTGTGTGAGAGGAAGTACGAATCATGTGTGGCATGTGGGCTCCACCCTGGGTTGCATCGCGGGTAGGAATGTGCCGGGTGAGTGCTGTACGGTTGTACAGTAGTACTTTACGTGGTTACATAGCCTCACAGGGAGGAGGAGGTTGGGGTGGCGCCTCCTGAGCTGCGCGGCTTTGCACACCCCTTTACCAGCGCTGCACACTCCTAGCTGAATCCCTTCCTGCGCCGTACACAAAACCCGCACCCAGGTGGTGGTGTCGGAGCTGTTCAGTATGGGCGCCAAGTCCGCCGCCACCTCGGCCGCCACCGGACTGCTCTTCTTGACGGGTGGGTGGAGGGGAGGGAAGGGGGAGGGAAGGGGGAGGGAAGGGAAGGGAGGGGGGGAAGGGAGGTGGACCTGGCGGTGGTAGGGGCGTGGAGGGCCCTCTCCCACAACCGAGCCTTGCACAGGGAGCCTCACTACGCCACTCTCCCTCTCTTGTCCCGTCTGGCTGGCTTGACGGTAATCACACCGCACGTCACACAAGGGGGTCCGCAGGGCCTCGCTGCATGACCTCCTCTTCCCCTCACCACACATTGGGTGTTTTTCTTCTTTTCCCTCCACCCCTCAAACACCCCTACCCTGCGCCACCCCCTTCCTCCCAGGCGCCGCCACCGACCTGGTCTTCCTGTCCCTGGAGGACCTGCTGGGGCCCTACGTCTTCGCGCTCTTCGCGGGCATCAGTGCGGCAGCAGCGGCCTACGTGGCAGTGGCACTGCCGGAAACCAAGGGCAGGACGCTTGCGGAGGTGCAGGCGCTGTTGAGGGGGGGAGAGGAGGAGCAGGAGCTGCGGCAAGGGGATGGCGGTGGGGGAGGGGAAGGGAGAGGAGGGGCAGGAGAGGGGGTGCAGCGGGGTGGGTGGGTGCAGCTGCGGGAGAGGGTGTGAGTGGGGGGTTATGCAGCTGCGGGGGGAGGTGCTGCGGCAAATTGACTGCGGTTTCGTCAAGGGGACGACCCAACCACTCTCGCTCGCGTGCTGCTAGGTGTACTTTTGCTGAGCGCTTGCAGGGGCAAGCGTGCAATGAATGTGCGGAGGGAACAAGACGCACGTGGCTATGCCGACGTTGTTCTTTGTGTAACGTTACTCGAAGACCTGCACTTATGGAATACTGTATTGAACTTGTTTCGGTGATACCCTGTACTTCCAAGTCGTAGTACGGGGGCACTCGTGGAGGCAATCCTAGTCGTGTGTACCTAGCCTGAGTACCGCGCCACCATGATAGCTTAGCTTAGAGGACCATGAATGCGACACGCCTAAATGGGGGGTGCTTGGGGAGCAGCCTTACAGTGTCTTCTTACCGGTACGTGTTTTTGCTGATGTGTCATGTGAACGAATGAAGGTTACTAACTTATTATGGTTTTGTAAACTCGGGCGTGTAGGTAGCGTAAACGGTTATCTCTTCTTATCTACGGTTCAGCTGACCCTGTTTGGTATTTTGCTTTTGGTACCGTGATGTTACGTGGGGCAATTGATTGCTCTCGACCTGTGCGTCGTATCGTAT